GCTTTACCGCACTGCACTAGCTGTGCTCGGGGGGGGGGGGGGGGGGGGGGAAGACGCTTTCACAACCCTGAGCACAGCAAGTTGCAGCGCTGTACAGCGCTAGTGTAGCCAAGGCCCTAGATACACTACTCTGAGAAGACTTAGCAACCACAGCCCATATGTTTATCAGCTACTGTTGCTTGCTCTACCTATAATTAATGGTCAAGACCAGTAGGGAAAGACCAGAATGAGAACAAGCCTGACTTTTCTTAGCCTGATGCAACATACCTGACAGAAGCCTATTCACCATATCAGAAGCTAAAAAAGAGGAGGGAGAAGGAAGTAGCAGGAAGAGAGGAACCATCTCCATGTGTGAGCAGCCCAACATTAGGGGAGTGAGAACAGAGACCAAATGATTATTTTCTTATGCTTCTATTTCTGTATCTTGGCACCTTTATATTGAGTGGGATGGGGTCCCAGCATCTACAAATGCCTCCTATGCTCACACACGGATATTAACATTGCCTTCCCAGCTCAAGGAAAGGTGCTCCAACAGCATTTTAAGAAGGAGGTTCTTAACAGGTGATTGGTGAGGGTTTAAGAGGACCACAGTGGAACAGTTTAAATATCAATAAAGTATCAAGCAGAAGAAAAAATAAGAATTTTATCAGAAGTTAAAACAAATAAGTTCACCAATCACATTCTAAAGTAGGCCCTGGTCTTGCAAGGAGAACTGCATGGTAGATTCCTGCACCCATGAGTTGCAGTTCCCTTTGCACAGTCTTAGGCTACAATGCAAAAAATATGTATGTTTGACCCACAAACAAGATGCTGTTTTACTGTCCCTTATGCCTCCTCATCCACAACATAGACAAAGCACAACATGCAGCAATAGAATCCATAAGGCACTCACTCGTGAACTCTGTTGTCTCCATACAAGTCACTTAACCCAAAGCTGACATAATGCCAGTGCTCAGGAACATTCAATGCTGGGTTTCCCAAGTTCCTGTACATGCTAACGTAGTCCAGAGGATCTGGTCCCCCCAACCTGTAAAAAAACAAAACAAAAGGACGTTCCAGTTTAATATTGGAGAAAGAATTTTAACTTACATGCTGAGATAAAGGGAATAATCTCAGTATCATTAGTCCCATATATATTTTTTTCTTTTAAAGAAAGCTATGCAGACAAAGGTGAATTTTTCCATGTATTATCACAACTGTCTTGTTCTGACGCTTTCAGCTGTGCTTTTTATTTTCATGGGAGTCTTGAAAGACTGTCTTATGCTAAATGAATATGAAGTCTGCACAGATGCTGGTATGGGCCTTTTAGACAAAGGCCTGCTTCAAATCACTGCAAGTGACAAAAATGAAATTAGCATATCCGAATTCCCTCTAGAGAAAGTAAAGAATAAGGCCAAGTTAAATCTAGAGTTTTAAGCATAGGAAGACAGGGTGCACGTGTCTCATATGTTGAGTGTTTTTAAAGTTAAAGTTAAAGCATGAAACTGTCTGGAGGACCGTTACTAAAAGTTTCCACAAAACACCCAAAGATGATTGAAAAATAGAAAAATGGTGATAGCAATACCCACACTGCGAACCTTTATCTCAATTCAGAAATGTATACTCCCACTTTTACTAAGTCATTCTATTTCTTAAAGTAGAATTAGAAAAGATTGAGTTTTAAGAGAATATTGCCTATGTTTGAAAGCAAACAAAATGTGAATACTGGAGACAAGAGTCATTCTCTCTGCAAAGTTATGTTATTAATGTCTTCTTAGTACACCAAGAACATCAATTTAGAATGACTTAAAAACATATCCCACAGCATCAAGTTAAATATTAGAATTGGTTGCATAGTGGAACACTACTTACAGTCAGAATATAGCAACTAGCAGACTATTTAATGGAATAATCCATTTTATATAAAAATGGAATTTGCAGAATATTTTACTGTAAGACAAAAAACGAAATTTGGTTGACATTAACAAGGTTAGTGGCCTCATTAGCAATTTGTAGTCACATCTGGCTGTGCAGAGAGAAAGGTAACTCCCCCCAATATGAGAAAACGTGCCAAACTGTTTTCCTTGGTATTTGTACTATCATAAAACAGAAAGGACAGATGAAGACAAGAAGAGACCAGAGGTAAGCCACGTTTATGGAACAGAGCAAGTAGCCGTTTAACCGTTTCCTGTCTGACCTGCAGGGCCAGCTTTAAGCCAATTCACCCGATTCCTTGGAATAGGGCCCTGCGCCTGCGAGGGCCCTGCTCTGGGGCTCTGCTTTGGGGGTCTTTTGCGGCATTTCGGTGGCGGGGGGTCCTTCGGTGCTGTGGAAGACCTGGAGCGGACCCCCCCGCCACAAAGTGCCGCTGAAGCCCCGGACTGCCGCCGGGTATTGGAATCGGGCCCTGCGGGTCATAAAGCCGGCCCTGCTGACCTCTTTCTGGTCAAAACAAAAATTCTCTGTTATCCAAAACAAATGTAAAAAGATCCAAAAAAAGACAAGGAACTAAAATGGCCACATACAATCATACCTCTTTATTATACCCTAGCCCCCAACCCTTTGTATGTTGTCTGGTCAGGCCCCAATCCTGTAATGTGTTGCTCAGAGGCATATCAGAGCCCCAGATTGTAATTTCATCAGGGCAGAGGCTTGTCTGTAAGTACACTCTCCATACTATACAAATAATTCACCAGAACAATCCATATATTCCATAAATATCTGAATCATCATTACTCTCAGCCTTCCAAATACCTCTTCAAATATTGTCCTCGGCAGGAGTTTGCTATAGTGCACACTTTGCAATTGTACTGTAATCTTCATTTCTCTATATAAAGGTTCCGACACAAAGTTATGATAAATGTAAGTGTTTAGAACTTTTTTGAAAAATTAGAATTGCATAAAGTTACAGCGTTACCACAGGAAATAAATGTGTTACACCACATTCAGTTGGATAGGGGATGTGAGCAATAAGGTTAGCCTCAGGGAGAAACTGTACTTGCATGAAGAATTCCCTGTTGACCAATGTTAAACTTCCTGAGCTTCTGTCATGGAGAAAGACCTGACGAAGTATTCAGCTAGAGCAGTGGTTCTCAACCTATTTACCACTGAAGGCCCCAATGTGTTATGTGGGCTACATCCAATACTACCTTTACGGCCCTGAGGATGTCACATAGGCCGCAGCTCTGTGCTGCAAGTTGAGAACCACGGAGCTAGAGCCTCCTAAGGGATGATTAGTGAAAGGAGGGACTATGATACATTCATTAGAAAAGGAACTAATATAGCACTACTAGAAAAATGCCTTGAAACTATAAAATGTGTCAGGAAACAGACTAGTGAAAAAGTGAAGCTGAAACAGTCACCCTCAATTCTACAAACTTTGAACACTTTTCTACTAAAGCAAGGAATACAACTAACAATGCTGCTCTATTGCTTGAAGTTTTATGTGCTAAAGGAATGTTCCTTCAGAAATATTTAACCACTTCTCTTAAGAGCAATCATCTGAAGATTACAAGAAGAAAGTTTCCACTCACATAGGTACAGGAGTGCTTTCAAAAATTCTGATAGCTATCTGAATTAATTTCCAAAAATATGCAAATGAAACATGTTAAAAGAACACCTGTTGCATGAAGTATTTTTCATCCATAAGTCCCTGCCCCCCCGCCAAGAGGTATGCATGTCACTTGGTTTTGCTGCATGTTTTACATAGATACTTGCCTTGCTTCACAAGCCAGAAAACCCATCAACACTGCAATACTCTTTAGGAAAAAAAAAGTTGTGATTTTTTTATTTAAAAAGACTGATTATACATAATTAAAAACTGATTAGGTTTGCAATATTATTCCTGAGGCACTGAGCTATTTCTTCTTTTAATCTAAACCAGTGAGACTCAGACCTCAAGGGTTCAGGAGCTAAGTTACAGATCAACATTACCCAAAAGAACCACAGTGCTGTGAATTCATTGTTCCATTTACTATTAAATTTTATTTTTATATAGTAAATGAAACAATTATTCTCACAGCAAAACTGACCAAATAATAATTTTATGAAGTACAGGTGGTTAATAACATAGTAAAAGCATCCTGATTAATTATTAACCAGCCTAAGTTATTAATAAATGTGCACATGATATTAAAACACTGTGATGTAAAGAGCCACTTGCAACTCACGCGCCTCAATCTAACTATCACTGATCTAGCTTATGGCCCAGAGGAATGAGGGCAGAAGACAACAACATAGGCACGAGTGACCAACAGCAGTGAATTCAGCAAAGTTTTCACAAATGTTTAAAGACTCCCATAAATAGGTCATCTCCCCTTCATTACGCTGTGTCTACACTAGCCCTTGTGCTAAAATCTCCTCTGGGAGGCAGCTGTGGTGTATACATTGCACCACTGGTGCTCTGTGCTAGAGGAACTCCCACTGTTATGATGGCCACCATTGAAACTGCACGGGTGGTAACAATGGTGATAAACATTAGAGCCTGCCTCAGATTTGAGTGCAGAAAAGCAACGGTATCATCCCTGCCACTAGCTCCGTTCCCAGGATCTAGGAGGTTAGTGCACACAGATCTCAATCAATCAGTACCTTGGGATTTATTTATTCCTAAAAACCAAAGAGCTTCATCATCATCACAGATCCAAATCTACCTTCGTCTCACACAAATCTTGTGTCATTCCAGTTGACATTGGCATAAACTGATGACAGAAGAGAAATGCTGACTCCTAAACAGAAGTGACTGGAAATTCTTGTCGCACTTGAACACTTAAAGGAAGGCATCTAAATCTATATTGCTGTAACTGTAGTGACCTGATCTGCCCACTCACATTAGGTACCAAACTTGGAAAATGTTAGCCTGCACTCACACGGAAAAAAAACAAACAAACAAACACACACCACCATTTTTATTCCAAGCTTCCTCAGATATTCAACAATTTTAGATCTACATCCAAGATTTGGATTAGCAGCCAATGAACCTACAAGAATCAGACTCTTCTCCAAAAAGCACTGGTCGCTTCTCACAAGAGTGGTGGATCTTTGCAAGGATACCAGTCACTGCCTGGTTCTGTCAGAGATGGTTACAGAAAGAACCACTTTCCTATTTCTACCTAGCCAGAGGCAGACCTGATGAAATTAAAGGGAAAAATGCCAGAATGCGGAGAGCCTTAACTAAACTTTTTCAAAGCACCAGAAAAAGTTCTGTAGGGAAAAATCCTAATCCTGCACCGACCTGGATGACCCACTACCGATTTCCAAACTGGGGTCTGTGGATCCCCAGCTGTCCACAGAGGGGGGACAGTGTGCCTAGGCCTGGCTCTCTCTGGTGCCAAGTGAAGGCAGATTAAAATGAAGAGCAAGAGTAGATTGCAAAATTAACTCCCTTGAGAACAATGCACCACCTCAGGACCCCCCCAATCCTCTCTCACAGACCCAACCAACTCTCCCCACGTGGGGAGCCTGGAGGCCCAGGCAAACATCTCCCAATTTCCCACCCAGGGAGCCCCCCATTCAAGGCCCCCTAGCCTGGCCCAGCCCCCCAACCAGGATCCCCTCTCAGGGAGCCCAGCCCCCCCCCCAACTGAGAATCCCCCCAACCAGGACCCCCTCTCAGGGAGCCCAGCCCCCCCCCCAACTGAGAATCCCCCCA